TTAAGAACAGGAGTGTTTTTATTTTATTTTATTTTATTTTTTTCCGTTTTACGAACAGTAGCCTACCATTTTTTTACTTTTAAAAACACATTTCAATATAAACGTTGACATTTAATTTAGTTAGTTTGTTTGTTTTTTACATATATGCACAGTACAGTGTTAATGTCCAACATATGTATAATGTTTAAAGCGGCTGATAATAATAAATATTCTCAATAATAGGAATTAATCTGCCACGTTTTTGAACTGTACAGACCTGTAACTTCTTTACTGGGCCTACTACGCTACTGTATTTCAATACTGCTCATTATGGTGGTACTTGGAGAGACATTTTTTTCTGAGGTGGTACTTGATGAAAAAAGTTTTAGAACCACTGATATAGACCATTTCAATGTGGTCACGTCATTCATTGGCTCATAAACATTTCCTGCTCGTTATCAAACTATTTCATAACAGTAACAAGAGGCAATTCCATCATAACTTAATGTTAAAACAGCTGTCATAACATTATTTTTCAATATGTGGCTCTTTTTGGATTCTTGGAAGGTATAGAAATTAAAAATGTAAAACAAGAAATACATTGCGACCATTGTTTTTATTTACATCACTCAAAATGGTCTATACAAAAACAAATCATGCAAATTGAAATATTCTTGGTTAAATGTTTAATTTATATTGGATCTACAGTATATACATGGTAATCAGTCAGTATACATAAACAACTAGTACTGAACTCAAATTATTTGTGTTCAGTCTATGATATACATTATTTAATCCTTATTTCCCCTATATGTTTCCTTTTTTTATTTGGCACAAAGGGGGTTCAAAGAAACAAGTCTCATGAAGGACACTGAACTCATACAAACCGATTTTACCTACTTTGCCACCGCACTCGTCCTCGTTAACTAGAGTTAACAACCTGCGTGTTTACAGTCTTTCTAGCACATATTTTAAGCAATATCTGACTCCTATTGACCTTATTCTTTGTGTATGAGCGGGCGCATCCATTTGAATCTTTTTGGCTTGAGACTTCACTTCCATTCATTTTTAGACATTAAAAACAGCTCATTATGCTGCTTGATGATGCAGCTTGCCACACAAAACAGCAAAAGTAAGTTGACTTAAGAGCTATGAAAGCACCTGAAACAATGTGGGACAAGTGCATACTTGTGCGGACTGTATTTATATAATCCAGTTTGTAGGTGCGTCCGACACAAGGCCGCTAGCAACCTTTGCTGGCTCTTGTGCTAATATGTGCATTCTCTTGCTCCCCTGCATTACTAGACGTCATTAAGAGCTTTTAAAGTTCGCAATTAACCTTCACAAACTGTCTAAGCTGTATTTCAACCTGCAACATGAGCTGAATATGGATAATGTGGGTGAAGAGGGTCTTCTTGACGGCGGAGATGCCATGTTTCTGCAAACTTTTATTTCAGTGTGATGAGATATTTTCAACTGAAACTGGGTTCAGGTTTGCTCATCTTTCACGTGCAAATAAGATTTACAGAAACATTGCTAAACGTTTTTCACCCAAGATTCCAAACTGACTTTACAAGCAGGGTGCAAATTATAAGGGGTTTTGGGGTGGACTGACCCTCATAATTAATACTCGATGGGCATCAAAACAACAAGTATTTGGGGGGAATGGAGAGTTTGCTCTGATCCAGGCCCGGATTGGCTAATCGGGAGGACCGGGAGAACTCCCGATGGGCCGGTCAGTTTTTTTGGCCGCGAGGGCCGGTGTCCCTAGCTCCAGAATCTGTAGCTCTCAGCAGTCACACTTTTTAAATTAATTAATTTATTTACTTGACCACAGTCTTCTTATTCATTATTTTACCGCAGCTCTGCTCTTTTTATCTATTTTCTCTTTAGCACATTAGTTTTCAACGCCACCGACTCGGGTTTGATCCTCGTCTGAGTAATTTTTTTTTTCATTTTTATTGTTAAGACATATAATACTGTTGGGGTTGTTGAACATTTTAAGTTCTAAAGCAGCTGTTTTCTCAAAAAAAGACGTGACAGTGTAATTAGAAACTGAATTGGAAATGACCTTATTTTAGTATAGTCAGTCGTGAACTGAGGTGGGCCGGTCTGAGGCTTGAAACTCCAGGGCTGAAAAGGAGTCCCACTCTGGCCCTGCTCTGATCTGTATCTTAAAAGACAATATTAAAAATGAAAATAACAGATAATATGAGTATACATTTGATCAACTATATAACAGTTCATATCATTGTGAGTGCACAGTCAGTCTATGCAAGAAAAAAGTTATTTATCAGTCTGAAACCATCAGATCAGAGCACCGATAGACAACATAAGTGTTCACAAGACACTTTTCTTGTAAAATAGCAGTTTGTTTCAACATGTAGCCTAAAGGTAAAGTCAAATTAGATGCATAGTTTTATAGTTTGACCTACAGTAAACTCTGGAATAGTTGAGAGGATACTGTAGGTCAGAACACACTAAATATCACACAAAACACTGAAAACTTAAATATGATTTATTGATAAATGAGATTAAATTAGTCAAATAAATGTGATTCACTGAAGCATGTAATACTCAGACTAACGTTAACATTACCAAAAAGTTGAGCCTACCTGATCGTCAATGTATAATTTGCACCCTGGTCACAAGAAGATCCAATATTCCAGAGTGGAAGCAAATATTAAGATTTTTAGTTTTTTCAGTAGATTAACTTGCACATAAAATGTGCGCTAGCAAAAGAACATTAAATTTTGTTTTTATGCAGACTTTAATGTCTAATATTTTATTTTTAATTTGAGCAGGCTTATGATTGTCTAACTAGTACAGAAAGAATAAGCGCTAGTTCCCATAGAATAGGCCCTAGTACAGCTAATAAATCAGTACCAATGAAATACTAGCCTATAGCATACAAATAGATGCCTATGGTTTAGTTTAGAGATTAAATGTAAAACGGCTTGCCACACAATGCAGCAAAAATAAGTTAACTTATAAGTGCACCTGAACTAATGTAATATGAGTGCGTACTTGTGCGGACAGTATTTATATAATCCAGTTTTCAGGTGCGTCCGACACGAGTCCGCTAGCCAGTTTTGCTGTCTCTTGTGCTAATATGGACATAAACTCTTGCCTCCCAGCATTACTAGACGTCGTTAAGAGCTTTTAAAGTTCGCAATTATCCTTCTTCACAAACTAACCAAGTCGAATTTCATCCCGCAGCATGAGCTGAATATGAATACAGTGGGTGAAGAGCTAAAATCGTTGTCTAACTAGTACGGAAATAATAAGCGGTAGTACCCAAAGAATAAGCCCTAGCTAATAAATCTGTAGCCTACTAATGGAAAAAATATAGCCTGATATGTTGCATAGAAAGCTAGGCCTATAGAGATTAAATGTAAAAACGGCTTGCCACACAATGCATCAAAAATAAGTTGACTTATAAGTGCACCTAAACTAATGTGGGACGAGTGCATACTAGCATACTTATGACAGTATTTATATAATCCAGTTTGCAGGTGCATACGACACGAGTCCGCTTTTAAGTTGGACTCTTGAGCTAATATGGACATAAACTCTTGCTCCCCTACATTACTGGACGTCATTAAGAGCTTCTAAGTTCGCAATTAACCTTCACAAACTCACCAAGTCGTATTTCATCCCGCAACAGGAGCTGAATACGAATAAAGCGGGTGAAGATGTTCTTTTTGACAGGTGAGGCGCCGAATAGTACACATTCAGTGCGTTGCCGGAGGCCTCGGGAAGACTGAACGACCCTATTGTCCTTACGTTTTAATTAGCCGTAATAAAGCACGGAGATAATGGATCTGCGTTTTCCCAAGAACACTCGAGAGCGCTGTTATGGATCTTACGCAACGGCACATTAGCAGACTCAGAGCCGCCCGGCGGGGCCCATCACTGCTGACCGGGGCCGGTAAGTGACTGCGGTCTGACCGTGTTTGAAAAGGCTGCTCCTGATGGTTATGGATATGATGATGATGATAGCAGGAATTATGTCCGCTAAGGGCACTGCGGAGTCCCTCACGGGAGGTGTCTTGGCTCTGTAAATAAGGACAGGATTTTATTGACAGATCTGCATGGATCGGTGTCCGTTTTTTTTTTTTTTTTTTTTTTTTTTTGCAGACTGAGTTGTGCAGTCCGTATAAACTTTACAGTTGAAAATATGTTGAAGTGGAAGGGTTTTAGGTACAAGTTTGTGCAGCCAGGAATGTAATTCCCATGAAATTCTCCATGAAATCGTGTAGCATTTAGCCTAAAAAGGTGATACATAATAATTAAATATAATTCGTTTTACACATGCACCTATACATGCATACAGTGTCTATATGTAGGCCTATGTATTTTCTTATGCTTTTCAGTTGGCATTTCTGTGTGGAGTTTGCATGTTCTCCCTGCGTTCAGGTGGGTTTCCTCCGGGTGCTCCGGTTTCCCCCACAGTCCAAAGACAGGCTGTACAGGTGAACTTCCCATATATGGGTTGCAGCTGGAAGGGCATAATCTGCGTAAAACATGTGCCGGATAAGTTGGCGGTTCATTCCGCTGAGGCGACCCCAGATCAATAACCCAGATAGCACACATGCGTCGCAGAGACGTCTGCTGGACATCCGCGTTTTCATCTGGGAGACGTCTTATTCAGGGCGTTTGCTCATCTGGAAAACGTCGCATAGACGTCCTTGTCATACATTCAAACAACGTCTATGCGATGCATTACAGATGTTCATTTTTAAAATGTTAGGTCTGTGAGACATCTTATTTATGTAGCATAGACGTCGTTTTTTTTAATTGTTTATTTAGACATTCCTTCATTCATACTGCTATAAATAACAGTTACAGGTACTCTGGTTATACATCCGTCTTCACATAAGCTAAAGTATATCCACTCAAAATGAAAAACACAACGGCTGAAGAATTATTTGTAGAATTTTATTATATTATAATTGATTAGAATTCATATTTTTTGAAGCAAACAAAACCAAATAGCAGCAAATAAATAAATTTAAAAAAACAACTGGCTTAAGAGGCCATTCTTCCTGGGGCCAAGCGGAGAAAGTCTTTCAAATATTTTTCGGCTTCTGCCTCTGTTGGAGACGGAAGCACGGGGTTCCTCATAGCTGCACCTGTTAAAAAAAGAAAAAATATAAAGAAATTAAAATAAGGCGGTTTTAAGAAGGCTCAGGGGGTGTTTTATTTTATTGTGAGCCTTTTATTTTTATCTGACCAAAATTAATACACACCATATTAATTATTGCATTTGACTACATAATAATAATAATAATAGAGTGGAAGAAATAATACTATGATTGTTTGAAATGCGTTTAGCTAAATGGCATATCGTCTATTTTAGATAATGATCGTTAACACCATTTTTTAAATCAGTTTAGCCTACCTTTATTTGATTGCTGTTCATTTGTTGTTGAAATACGGCTTAGATTGGAAATATTTTCACTATTCGATCATGCACCGTCCTCATGTAATCAATATCATATTCTTTAAAATGTTACTCTCAAATAAATTAAGCTATAGCTTTGAAAAAATTGATGTCAAATAGAAACGAGAGGTGCAAAAGCTTAAATCCGCCATAAAATGAATAAAGAAAAAATAACAACAACAAAAACAAGTGTACTTGCATTCGTATTCATTTGGACAACGTGGTCAAATTCAAGGAATCGACTCTTTTGTGTTCGAAACTTCATCACTATTGCGCATGTTTCCTCAAAGCATCACACTCAGCACGTAGAAGACACCAGTCCACGCGGGAATACTGAGGTAAGCAGTCTGATTCATTGTTATTGATATGTGTGGTCAGTAAAATATTTATTCCACTTTGTTTGTAGTAAATTTAACAAGGTAATAACTTTATTTAGACGAATGAAGCTATGTTTAAACACGTTGTGATGACAACTGACCAAGCAGCAGTTCAAGGTGATTAGGGCTAACTTAAATTTCGGGAAAATTTGTTCTTTAAATTTATTAGATTAATATCATACGACAAATTAACTGCTAAATAATGAATACTGTAAAAGTGTACATATGCATTATACTGTAGTGCTGGGAGATTATTCGAAAATCGAAACCTAAATCCATAACCGACATATATCCCCACGTGGCGATTTAATGCATGTACCGTCCACATGTGCTTCAGCAAAGCTCAAGCGAATGCAGGCAATGTGATTAATAATCAGAGGCATGACAGATTTTCTTTTTGATTATATGACCTATAATTTGTGAAGCATAACTCACTTTTTTTTTAGCGTTTATTCATAATCAAATCGACTGAGGTTTTGTTTTTATTATTTCTAGTTATCACATACAAGGTAGGTGCAGTAATCAGCACTATCGCCTCACAGCAAGAAGGTCGCTGGTTCGAGCCTCGGCTGGGTCAGTTGGCATTTCTGTGTGGAGTTTTCAATTTCTTCCCGTGTTCGCTTGGGTTTCCTACGGGTGCTCCGATTTCCAAAGTCCAAAGACGAGGTATGGGTGAATTGGGTAAGCTAAAAAAATGGTCCATAGTGTATGAGTGTGTGTGTGTATGTTTCCCAGTGATGGGTTGCAGCTGGAATGGCATCCGCTGCGTAAAACGAATGCTGGATAAGTTGGCGGTTCATTCTGCTGTGGCGACCCCGAAATAATAAAGGGGCTGAGCCAAAAAGAAAATGAATGAATGAACATACAATGTAAGCTGTCTTTTCGTAAAGAGAAGCATGCACACACACGCACTTAAAATATTATTGTGAACAGCAATGTTCACATTATGTACTTTTTCACATTGCTTTATTATTTACTATTTTCCAGACACAAGTTATGCTTGTTAAAGATACTTGTCATTTTCCACTTTTGACATGGAAATATTTTTTTAGGGAAACTTTCTTTTAACACTAAAACTGAAATGTTTAGTAAATGAATAAATGGAACTTGATTAAGTACAAAAAATTACTTGGAAAATAATATAATGATTCAATATTTCAAAAGGAGGTAAAGTGTTCAATCAATCAAGGTTTTGATTTAAAGTTTAATCTCCTTGCCCTAATATACAAGAATGAACAATTCTCCACTTAAAATAATGATCTAAATTTTATTTCTAAAACACTCTTGTGTATTAAATATCATTTTACAATATATGAACAGCATATGCTAGCTCGTAAGCTTATAGCACACTGATAACCATATTATGTGTGTACAAGGTAATCATGCTATAGAGATATACTGGCAGTTCTGTCTTATAGGTATTATCTAAACCGTTCATTGCAAGACAATTAAACATACCTATCACAAGTGTCCCAATATTTGTGTTTTTTAGGCCTCTTTTATCTCCTCTTCCACACCAGTTGAGCTGTTTGGCCACTGGACCAAACACTTTGGAGGCTACACGCCAAATGGTTTTTTTCAGAGTTTGTCCTCCTCTGATGGATAACCTCTTCATCTTAAAAATAAAAGGTAATATTAAATCTTTACAGACAAAGTGCAAGGACTATGGCCCAGTTTTACAGACAAGGATGAGCTTAAGTCTGGACTATAAGTCTTAGTTAATGTTAGATATAAAACTACTTTTATAAAAATCCATGTGAAAGAAAATATAAGCACAATACTAGCGTGCATCTGGTAACAAAATAATGGCAATGAGATATTGTAAGGCATCACACAGCTCACACATACATTTTTAGTTTGGGACTAGCCTTAAGTGTTGTCTGTGAAACTGGCCATATAATAAAGATTTACTTAACAACAGCTGTAAAACCTTTAAATCTTAAATATTCGTACCATCTTCTCCATCATTGGTTTTTCAGCTAATTGCCTTTCCAGTTGTTCAAGGTCCTCAATTGTTTCAATAGGAAAGGTGTCATCCTCAGTGTCCACCACCATTTGACCACTTGACCAAGGGGCAAGGGACTGGACCACTGAAGTTAGATGGGTAATCTTCATGTCCAGCTCATTAAGCTTCTCCAAAATTGCCCTCTCCACAGCTGCAACACAGTAAGTGGGTTAATCTCTATTCAACTATACGTAAATATTTTTTAATTATTATTATTATTCTTAGCACTTAAATTTTACTTACGTGTGCATTGACTGGAGATGCAGCTCCATCGGCTGATACCAGAAGCATCTGCAAGCAAAATCACTTTTGAACGATTCACAAAAATGTTATGAGGATATTGTAATAATATGCTTGAAACCTTAAACGATAAAAAAAAAACTATATCCGTCTGATTACACATTGTTTTTCTATGGCTAAAATGACTTAAACTATTCACAGAATTCAGAAAAGCAAAATAGCAAAACTGAATTAAGAGGAAATAAAACTGAATTTTAAAAAGCAGACAGAAGCCAACCCCCTCTTGGTCTGTGCTTTTACGTAAAATAGTTTATATGTGAATTTTTCTGTGCATACGAAATCGTTAGTTCCCCAAAGTTATTGAAAGCATAAATTAACAAAACACTTTAAATTAATTTTCAAACCATTAATTTATAGGTAATGATAAATTATATATTGTACTCTAATACATTAATATTCTGAATACAGTGAGTTTTTTTACTGTCACTATAATTAACGAAGTGTTTTTTGTTGTTGTATAGTGTTGTATTTATTAGGTTACAAGGAAATAATTAGATAATGTTTTGCGAACAGCTTATTAACCATGGAAAATTTTCACAGAAAATTGGAAAATGTCATTGATTAGTTGCTTTGAACAAGTTTCATATTCAGTGTTGATTAATATGTTTACAAATAAATTAAAAGGATGTACATTTACTTACGTTTACACACCATTAAGTGGTTATAAACATTTGAGTTTTTTTTTTGTTCTGCTAAACACAAGGAAGGTATTGTGAAGAAAGCTAAAAGCCAGTGATTATTGACTTCTATAGTAGGAAAATGCTATGGAAGTAAATGGTTACAGGTTTCCAACTTTCTTCGAAATATCTTCATTTGTGTTCAGCAAGAAGGAAGAAAGTTTGGGTAACACTTCGTAACAACTGCACACTGAATCATGCATTTAGCATTAGCAAATTGTTAATTAACTTGCAAGAAATTTAATTAATTTGTTAAGATTTAACTACATTAATAGATGTTGGTTAGCAGTATATAAATACAACTACAAATACTGTATAAAAAACATAATAATAATAATAATTCATAAGAAGTAACTGTCAATTAAAAAAACAAATGACTTACTCTTCGCTCTTGCCTGGGTACTTGAAGGTCTCAGCTCAGAAGTTGTGTCTTCTGTGTGATTGTACAGACAATGTAACATTACCATGTTAATAATTAGAAACTAATTTGCTGTGTATGTTTTTTTTTGAATGTTCTTGCACCTCGATAGCTCGATGGGTGGTCCCCCCAAGCATCTTCTTGCTCATTTACATGGGACATGCTTATTGGAAAAACTGGTGCTGAGAAAAAGGTCAAGTTGGTAAGTTGCATTTGCTACTATGACACTACATAAAATGTATATAATTTATTTATTTTTTACACTTACTCTGCATTTTTCTTTGATCTGCTGATGGCTTTGGATCTTGGACAGAGTATGTGTTGTCTAAATAATAAAAAACAAACAAACAAAAGTATAAAAAGGTTGCAAAAAATTACAATAAATGTGTTTAGGATTTCCTCTGTATACTTCATTATTGTTTTATTTAATCTTTGATGGTAGAAATATGTAGGTGATCAGGTCACCCATATAGAAATCTGATGCATGTAAATATACAGGGTGATTCAAAAAGAATACCACAACTTTTAAAATCAAGAACTCTTCAAAGAAGAGGAGGTCATATTGAACATCTATGAACTTGTTTACTACTAAAAAACTTTTAAGGACTTCACACTGATTATTTACCCAAGGTTCCATCATGTTTCTTTGATTAAATACAGATTTTCAAAGTTGTGGTATTCTTTTTTTAATCACCCTGTATATAGAAAACAAATAATTGAATTAAAAGTTCATATTTAGACTTCACATACAATATTTGTCATTGACCACTTATATATTTGTTAAACAACTGGAATTACAAATATGTATAGATATGTAAATTTTATATTAATAATTAATATTTTTAGGTTTTAATAATTACATTTAATAATATATATATATATATATATATATATATATAATATTTTTTTCTGTAGAATGCTTTAAAATATTATATTTGTCCATTAGGTTTGTCAGTACTAAAGTCAAAATAATTTAGCTAAATAAATTTATATTACGGTTCAAAAATATATACAAAAAACCTCTAAAATACAGGAAAAAATCAAGAGAAACTTAAAATAATATTACATTTATTATTATTATTATAAATTTAAAAATTTGTAGTTTACTTTTTTGTGCAAATACTCATTTGAATTTAAATTTAAATTTTTTAAATTTAAATTTTTATTCCTAAAGATGTTATGTGGCCAAACTTGTATTTTAGTGCACATAACTGTTTAATAAACATCTTTTATTTAAATGAACAAAAATATTATCTCTGTTTACTGAAAAATAGATTACAATATTCCAATTCAAAAGGAGGTGTACTCATATGTGCTGAGCAGAGTGTGTGTGTGTGTGTGTGTGTCTGTGTGTGTCTGTGTGCGTGCGTGCGTGTGTGTGAACATATCTGTACATATTATTCCAATCGTTGAAAGATAATATTTGTAAGCAGCACAGCCATTTTTGCAATATTTCAAAATGTATATTGCATAAATAAAATATATTTTATTTGTAAAATCCAAATAGGAACTTGCATGGCATATATGTAATTTGCATAAATTTAAATGCAACAGATTTCAATATGGGCAGGTATCGCATTGGTGATCTGCATATGAGAAGCTCTGTCTTTATTGAGCTTTCTTGACATTTGACAAAATGGTACTCTTTCTACTGTTGTAGATGAATTGTGTTCTCTTTTTTGTATTTTAGTCTTAGCTTTACAGCCTTGTTTAATCAAACATTTTCTTTTTTACAATACAGCTAAATGAAATGTGACCGTAATTACCTGAAGTGAGACATACAACTTACATGGTGCTCTGTCTTGTAAAGGCCGCAGCACAGAAAATGTGTCCTCTGTTGGATTGTACAGAAAATGTTGAGTTACCTAGTGTGAGTATGTGGAGCAATTTTCTTATTTCAGTTCTTATTTCAAATACCAATGAATATGTTATTATTTATTTTGTTTTTTACCTTGATTTTCAGGTTGGGGTTTATCCCAAGTGTCTTGGTGCTCCACTTCCTGGCAGAACCTCACAGGTACGTCTGGAGCTGAAACTGCAATTATTTTCTTTGCAATTATGAAATGTTATTTGACATTTTTAATTGTAATACCTGGTTCAGAGAAGATTCAGTCTTTAAAGAGGCTTTCAACTTTTGGCAGAATAAGCAGATCATGAAACATACAATTTGTGCACAATTATTATGAAAGTTGATATCTGGTTATATTGACTGTGATAAGGGAGTCATGGTTTTAACTGCTAGTAACAATGAAAATTTAAGGATAGGAGAAGGATTTAAACTCTGATGACTTACTGCAAGATTCTGAAAGATAATATCTTTTAACAGTTACAAGAGGAAGTGGTCCTGTCCTTCTAGACCAGTTCTCAACCTATGCCTATGAAGTTCTCCGTGTATTTCAGTATTTCAGCTTGTGGTTATTTTTGAGTGGGTACATTTTGAGACATTGTATCCCATTGTGTCATTCTTTGACACAGAAGCTGACACATTGTACTTGTCAGTGACTAAAGGGTTCCTGATGCTTTCAAACTCTTTCAATGATGAACCGGATGAATCTTTCAGTATAGGAAATTAATTTTGAAATGAACACTGAAAACTTCTGGAAGATAAATTGTTTAAACCGATACAAAGGGAGTGGTGCTTGTCCTTTCAACCTATGCCTATAAAAGTCTCTGGGCATTTTACAACATTTCTGCGTGTGACTCTTAAGTGGGTACAATCGATACATTGAGTCAAATTGTGTCATTCTTTGACACAGAATCTGACACATTGTACTTGTTTTGGCTCTGGCAAACTGGGTTTCCTAAACTATTCACCTTAATAACTGAAATCCTATTTTATAATATTATTTTCTTCTCGGCCAGTTGATTGTGACTCTTTATGTTTAAATAATGTCAGTTTCCTCTATGAGCATTTCTTGTCCAGTGGACTCAATTTAAAAATTAGCTTGTGTTGCACTTTCTCCTAGCCATATAATATACAGTTGAAGTCAGAATTATTAGCCCCCCTTTGAATTAGTTTTTCTTTTTTTATATATATTTTTCAAATGATGTTTAACAGAGCAAAGAAATTTTCACTGTATGTCTGATAATATTTTTATGTCTATATATTTGTTTTATTTCAGCTAGAATAAAATCAGTTTTTAATTATTTAAACCCATTTTAAGGTAAAAATTATTAGCCCCTTTAAGCTTTATTTTTTTCTGATAGTCTACAAAATAAACCATCATTGTACAATAACTTGCCTAATTAACCTAACCTGACTAGTTAACCTAATTAACCTAGTTAAGCCTTTAAATGTCTCTTTAAGCTGTATAAGAAGTATCTTGAAAAATATCTAGTCAAATATTATTTACTGTCATCATGGTAAAGATAAAATAAATCAATTATTAAAGATGAGTCATTAAAACTATTATGTTTAGAAATATGTTTTAAAAATCTGCTCTCTGTTAAACAGAAATTGGGGGAAAAATTAACTGGGGGGCTAATAATTCAGGGGGGCTAATAATTCTGACTTCAACTTTATATATATTCAAGTCACTTTTGCTTCAACTAAATATATATATATATATATATATATATATATATATATATATATATATATATATATATATATATATTTAATAGAGGTACAATGTACTTCTATTAAAAATAGGATCGGAATATTACATTTATTTATATTTGTGCACAAACTGTAGGTGAGTGTTGTCTATTCAGCAATCAGAATCATGAACCAGCCTGTCATTGAGTCAGCCTTTTGAGTCATGAATGCTGTGAAGTTACAGCTTTTACAGTTTGTAGTTACAGTATTCATGTAAAGCGAGTTACCTTGACTAGTGGAGGGAGTTTCAAAACAGGCCTGCTGTTGCTTTTCTGTAGCTTTTTGTTGGTTGCGGACAAATGCTGTTGAAACATTACAGATGAAACAGATGTTATATCTGTCTCACAAACAAAAATTACATTGTACTGCACAGATCTTTATAGCTTGAGAGTGCTGTTGCTTCTAATTAGCAATTAAAAGTTATTTGTGCCTCTTAAAATGTAATACTCAATTTATGAATGTAATAACAGTAGTTTTTTGCAAAATGTTAAAAGAACAATATTACTGGATTCAGCTGAAAACATTATGGTAAAGCAGCATGTCACAAGAGCTTGTGCATTACATTTAATTTACTGTGATTAAGGAACATTCTTGAGCATATCACAAAGTACTTAAAACATCAAATATCTGTTTTACTAATTAAAACTTACAATTGCAAAAACTGTTAATTGTTTTACATGATGTTAGCTGAGGTCGTACAAGGGGACCTGAAAAAGAAAAAAACTGCTCAGTGATCATACATACACTTTTGACTGGCAGTAATATAAGTGGTGTATTTTTACCTTTTGCCCTGATATGTCTTGGGGGTGTTGGAGCTTTTGGTGCAGGTGGGACCCTTGGTGTTGGTAGACTTTTTTCTTTATTTAGTTTCTTTTTTTTGTGGGGAGTATCGCAAGGCTCATCATCTGATGTGTATATTTTCTTTCTATGAGCACAATCAGGGTAGTTAATTATACAAAGCATGATTGGATTATAACAATGTCTTGTTTTTTAAATGTAAGAAGAAAAAAACACAAACTTAAAAATAAGTTCAATATAATTTTTATAGTAAAAGTTTTCTTTCCATCATTCTTAGGAAAGTTAGGAAATGGCCAAAATATAATAGTAAAAATAACAAAACCTTTTGCTTGTTTAAATCTGGCATAATTGTGTATTTGCGTGTTGCAAAAAATGCAAACAAACAGTTGATGATACATTTAAAACTAAATATACCTGATTTACCTGATAAGTGTGATTGAGATGTAAAAACTACGGCTGAATTTGATATTATAATTAAATATATTTACCTTTGTTACTCACATGAACTTTGTTTAGCTTCAGAAGACTGAATATTGTTGTTAAAAGTAAAATGTGTGTTTTGACAACTTACTTCGGAATTCTTTTTGCAGGCATTTCAGATTCCGAGATGTCAGATGTGTAGCATGCCTGTTTCCATTTCTTTGAAATCTTGTCAAAAGATGCTGAAAGAAATAAAGTATGTAACAATTCATGAATGCAATAGTCTATGGAATGTCATATATTATTGAATTTATCCTTTGTTTAATATTGTTTATTTACAATGTACTTCTGTGTACCTGACTCGTGTAGAATTCTGGCCTGATGCTTGGTCCAACCTTTATCTGGTTGTGGTGCCTCCATCAACCGGACACTCTTCAACACCCTGTCTATCTCCTTGTATGGAGGCCACCACGAGTGACCCTCTGAGTACCAAGACTTTGCGACAGGTCCGGTACTCCCTTCGTGAATGAACTCCACTATCAGGTACATTTTTTTTAAGCTGCAAGAACCTAGAGCCCCATAGTGTTGAAAGACACATATTAAATTTCGGTTGTTTATGTGCATGATTCAAATACACAAAATACATTTCATGCAAAATAATGATGCAAGTTAATATTGAGAAATTTTTTCCCAAGCACATATTACCAATTCCAGACCACATCAATCTTAAGAACCACTACTACTTTTGTATTCATCATTCTTTATTGATATATAATTTTCTGACAACACTCAAAGTAAAAAATGCTTTAAATTCAGGTGTTTTACTGATAAAAATATAACTTGGACTGAAAAGTTGCAAAATTATTAAATGACGGTGAAAAGAAGGCAATACTAGAAATTGCAAAATAAAGTAATGACAACTATTTTGGATCATTTGAATCGAGCTATTTTCACTTTCTGCCTTCATATAATATTACATATTGGTTATAGTTGTAATTAGGGCTTGACATTAATACTCGCCAAACCACCAAATGCAGGTAGATTTCAGCTGTGGCGGGTAAAGACTGCCATTTCCACTAGCCACTTTGGCTGGTTGAAAATAATTTTTTAATCGTAGTTTTCTTAAAAGCAGGGTTCAACAATAAGGATGGTCCAGTTTTTGGGACAGTAGACAGGATTGTCAGTGTCCTGACCAGGCCAGTGCTGGCTTATCACTAAATATTATAATTTCAGTTTTTTACCGTTTATCAATATGCATGCAAATGTGATAAAAAAAAATTATATATATTTATTTTTTTCAAAATTAGTGGTATACACAGTAATGAGTGGAACAGCAAATGAGATTTTAGAATCAAGAAGCAGCATGATTGACAAAAACAACTGTGTTTATGCAAAACAAAAGATAGCAGATAAATACCAAATGAGAGCTTGATCATACACACTGTGAGACACAGGCTATTCTTACTCACTGAGAGATGTTTTTGAGAGCCGAGTGTTTAAAATACTTGTGCACTACCGTGTCCTTGCATGTAGCAATCCTCCTTGGAAATGAAACTGGTGTGATGGATTCTATTTGAAATAGACTGGACAAAAGTAATTCTCGTGCATCCACAGTCCTTCTGCTTTCAAGAGCTTTAGATTTAAAAACAGGTATTTGTAAGCAGCAGTGATTGCCACTTTAACCATTGTTTGAACAGATTATTAATGTGCCTAATGTTAACTGTGTGCACATGATTAATATTTCATTATCACACATGGTTTGTTTTTCACCTGCTTTCTTTTGCTTGCAAGTCAATTTTCTGCATATAAAATATATTTTCCCAACAACAAAATTGTGGCTAGTGAAAAAGGCAAGTGGCTAGTAACCTTGGAAACTACAAGCCTCAGTGACTGGTGATAAAAAAAGTCAATATCAAGCCCTGGTAGTGATTAAGGTTTACAATTTTCAAAATGCTCTAGGAAAAAATATGATCAGAATATCATCTTGCACAATAATTATACTCGCACTATACAGTATATGTAAAAAAAAAAAAATGTGGAAATAGATAGATACTATGTGTGTAAAGTTTAAACTGAAACAAAATAATTTCTGCAAGGGACTAAAAAAGCTTTCATTTCAATATTTTCAATCTTGCAGAGATGGATTGGTCCTGACATGACATCAGTAGGTAGATGCCAAGTGTGGAGGATGGAAGCGTGGGGATAGTCAAAAAGGAGTTAATGTTTGCTGAAGGTGGTGTAGACCATGTAAATGCCATGCTTTTCTGAAATTATGTTTTGCAGCTTTGCAACCTTTCTGCCAATATAGACAAATGGTTTGCCTGGTCCAGTTTCAGAGTATATGGGCATACTCACTCTAGGTGCATTTCTGAGGAATGCCATCCTGTTTTCCAGGTGCACACCATCCTGAATACATGTTTCACACCCATGGTAACCTGGTTGGCCATTTTAGAAAAGCATGTTGCAAAAGCAAACTTGAATGTTAACTTTAGTCATTCAAATTCAAAGCCATTTTTTTTAACTCTTTGATTTCAGAGATTAGGTCTTCGAGATACTCATTCAGGGAGCTAGTTTTACAGTACCTTCAGCCCACAATAAATCTATTGGCACATGTTCCCCCTGCACCAAGTTTTAAACTTCTACTAGACTGAGCCAGCATTGAGCAAATGAACTCTTGTAGAGAGGAAGACCATCAATGCTCACCTGGAACTTAAAATTTTTATCTTCCTTAAAATGTACATGTTGTCATAGAGGACCCTTGAAATGGATGCCATTGAACCAAAAGTATATCACTGGCCCTGTGCGTTCAAAGAGAACTCATGTGCAAAAAGAAGGCTATTCTCTTTGAACGCACTTTACCTAATATTGTCCTTGTATCTTTTGGCAGACTCGGATTGTAATTGTGAATGATTATGAGTAATTCATTTAGTGATGCATGTGTTAATTTTTTTTTCTGTTTCCCATCTTGTCAAAGTCATCATTGAGGGGACTTGAACTAGTCAGATTGACTCGTTTATGAAGCACTTGCCAGGATGATACTGCATTCAGTCTCATTAACATGGGACAAACAGTCCAAGAAGTCAGTGCCGTCTTCAACAGTGCTGCTTGTCAATGCCACCATACTGTTCCCTCAATAGTGATGCTTATAACACATGCATTGAATAAAGCTGTTTGTCCACCTTGGCTTTGGCTTTTCTCCTGTTGTGTCCAGTAAGATTGTTTTTTTACAATCCGTAATACACACACACACACAATGCATTGCCCTAACATGCTAAGCCTGCATTGGTTTTGAAATTCAGTACTTTAAGACCCTTAAGCAGGTCGCACACCAGAAGCGCCGCTCCGCAGCGCGCCACGCAGCGCCATGCATTTTAGAATTCTAAACATAGGTTTCGATCAGAATACACACACAGGTGCTGCAAGTCGGCAGCGCCACGGCACAGGAAGAAGTTCATTTTTCAGCCTCGCCACAAAGCTGCATCTGATTAGTTTAATGTTAAATATCATTCGAATGTGCGCGTCTAGTGTGTGATGCTTTAAACTGTCATGTGCGCGCTGTGTCGCGGCGCTTCTGGTGTGCGACCTGCTTTACATCACACTGCTTACATGTACGCTTACATTTAATTGAACTTTATAAAACTGAAGCTTGGTAAACTAATTGGTGCATATTAGATGGGAGACATCCAGAATGTGCAGTGTTATGAGTCTCCAAGATTTGAAATTTTAGAACCACTTTCTTGATGACCAGTAGTTCTGTCACAATAATTACACGTACCTTATTTTTGAGGGACAGAATGTGTAAGTGTTATGTAGTTGTCAGTTGACTGTAGAGAACTCTGTAATTAGGGAAAAGATAAAACAGGTAACGTCAGTTTTGTCATTGTCATGCCTAGAAACAGTATAAAAAGCTTAATAAATGTATGATTACTCCTTTTTATAAAATGTTTGTTTAATTGAACTAGAACTAAACCCATAAGAATGCCTATATTCTGCTACTCCTTTGAATTTATTTTTTATCCTACCCAAAATTACAGGGACAGTTCGTCTAAGAATGACAATTCTATCACCATTTACTCACCATTCACTTGTTCCAAACCTGTTTGGCTGTCTTTTCTCTGTTGAACACAAAAGAAGATAGTTTGAAGAAAGCTGGAAACCTGTAACCACTGACTTCTATAGTATTTGTTTTTCTACTATGGAAGTCTATGGTTACAGGTTTTCAGGTTTTTTCAAAATGTCTTATATTTTATTCATCAAAAGAAAGAAAATCATAAAAATTTGAAACCCCTCGAGGGAGAGTAAATGTTGAGTGAATTTTCATTTTTGATTGAATTGTCCTTTAATCTCAGGAGAACAAATTTGGGAAAAAAATTAAGGTGAAACTAAAAAACTAAGGGCTAAGGATTATTTTATTTATATATTTATTTGAGTTTTTTTTTTCTTCGACTATGGTTTAAGTTGAGGGGTTTCAAAACAGTGGACTATGGAGTGTTATGTATTTAAAACCATGCTGATTTTTTTTTTATTTAAACTGTTGCTAATGCTACTGTAAATATGGATTATGAAATGAGGGTGTTTTTTATAAAGTTTAAAAAAGTAACAAGAAGTGGGTTATATACTATTTAAAGATTTGTTTCTGTTTTTTGAACTTGACAAAAATTGTAAGGAGATTTATTTGTTTTTGGAAAAGAACTAGAGGATAATAGATTTAAATCTTTATTGATATTTTTAAGGTTTATATGATAGAATTTAGTGGGCTAAATGGTAGTTAGTGATCCCGATTTTGAAAGAGGTCCTAATCAATAGGTGGCACTGTGGCAGTAATACGCTTATAAATAAATCTGTATGCAAAACGGCAATGTCTAGAAGAAGACAACGATACGGTGACCACAACCAACACGAGGTTCACGGCTCTACAGGTAAAACAATTTACTTTGTGTTTCATGACATGGTGTTATTTTCCTATAGTTTATGTGGTTTTAGTCACGGGATAGCATTAGAGCAGGGAATTCGGTATTGAGAGAAAAGTTCATAAAAATGGTCACTGTTAACACGGATTATAATCCGTTTTCATCTATATTTGGTGCTGACCACTGTTTTTCCACATAAAAAACTTTTAATACCATTTTGGATCCGGCACATACTTTATTAGGCATAACTAACATTTATGGTTGCGTTTGGAGGTTGTGCAAACTCTGGACAGTAGTCCTTCAGGATCGAGTGAGTCTGATGATTATAGTATGTTAATAAAGCCTGTTTAACCAGTTTCGTGCTTATTAAACCTATCAGTTCGATTTCATACAGGTCACTGAAGCATAGACCATAGGTCACGTGTTACTATTCTCAATGCTGTTGGACCAAACTTATCTACGACATAACTTTTCCCGCCCTACGCGTGCCTGACCACGTCAGTCAACCCTTTCGGTTATTAACCCTGCTTTACTATAGATAAATAAGTACACAAATATTTAATAAAAGTGTGTTAATATAGTTGTGCCATGGTTATCATAGATTTACCTATTTTTGCTAATAGAAACATATTTTAAGTATTTTAGGTAACGTGTATTTTTATTCAGTGCGCCAAAAATCATGGTTTTACGGTAAAAAGTCCTTAACTGGATAGCACATACTTAACAAATAACGTTAAATTAATAAATAATCTTACGATGTTGCAAGGCTGACGTTATTTAATGGAATAACGGTACTTACCAACAACGGACAAATTAACCTTAAGCCTAAAACCGAATAAACAACAACAAAAAAGTTAATATGTAAACAAACAGATAACTACGAATGAACAGGATTGTTATATGTACAAATTTTGTATTTACAGATAATTCTTGAGCTAAATATCAACCTATTATAAAAAAAACAAACGTTGAGGGTGCAATGTCATCTGTTGACAAACAGCCGTTGATCATGTGACGTAATGGCCTCACGACGTGTCACTCAGACAGGGTTAATGGAAATGTCATTGTCTATAATTGTAAGAAATTAATTAATTAGTTAATTTTATATATATTTATTATTTTTATTTAACAATATTCATTATTTTATTTTTTACTATTAATAATTACTTTCTATCACACTGGCATAAGGTTTGTTCTGTTGTCATATGTTGTAAATTTATTTACTAATTGTTGTATTTTAGGGGCACAAATCTCTGGAAAAATATTACTTGTTAATTGTATTGTAATTTTTTCAGGTGTTTTTGAAAGAGTTTTTTCACAAGTATAATATGTTTCCCCCATTCCCCCAATGTTGTGAAAATGCATGAAATGTACTAAATTCCTACATTAAATTAATGGACAGATTTTTTATTGAGAGGTCATGTACTAGATACTTTATTTATTTTTCTATTTATTTTTCTACAATAAAAATAATTTACAATAAAATTATTTACAATAAAATTCTCACCTGTCTTATGCAGAATTCTCTTCTGATGTTTAGCTGTGGTCCCTTGATCCAGACACTCCTCAGCAACCAGTCTTTGTATGGAATCCACCGTTCTCAATAAAGATCTATTTGTCTCTTCTTCCACTTCCATCAGGTACTTTTTTTTTTTTTGGCCAACAATGTTAATCTTATTTTTCAATATGTGATTTAGTATAACATTATAACTCATTGCATAATGCCATATTCAATGTTCATTATAAGACTTAAACTGTGTGACAGTTTATGAACATTACTTGAACTAGAGCTGCAAAGTTATATAAAAAGATATTTATTTATTTATGGTTTTGTTTGTTTTATATGTAACATTTGGAATTCGTTAAAGTAAATATAAGCTAAGTTAGGATGAAAGATAACTGTAAAAAAACAAAAAAACTTTGGTGCCTTTTTTGTTGAATCAAATGTAAAAACCCTGAACCAAAAATTTATATGGCTCCATTTTCTAGGTTAATATGCTCATAGTTGATATCAGATATGACTAAAGTGCATGCATCCTTAAGCACAAGTACTCATGTTTAAAATGACAGGTAAAATTTGAAGTACTGATTATACTTTTGTACTCAAGTGAAAGAAAAGAGATGGCCTCAAACATGTACACAAGTAAAAAGTATCCAATAACCTATCTTTGCTTTACGCTGGTAAATAGATTGCACATCATATATACATTTATACAAAATAACTTTCATTAAATAAATAAAAAAATTATCTAAAAATGCCCATTCTCAGCAGAAAAGTAGCCAAGCAACAAAGCTCTGCAATATTTGCCAACAGCACTTCTTAAAATGTTGCTCCATCATCTTGGCACAAAAACGCACCAAACAGCTGTTCTTACACACTAATAATTCTGTCTTAAATGTAACGCTTAAATTTGTCAGAAACAGTTTTTTTCTTTTGCTGAAATAAATGATTAACATCTTTTTTTTCTTCTTTGCTTTAACCCTCCTTTTGACTTAAGGGTAAAAAATGACACTAACACCATTTTAACAGCAAAAAAGCTAAAATACCCTAAACAATATTTTTTCCGTAATCTATTTTTAAAATTACCTTAACATTAAAAAAAGATTATTCATTTTCTGTTTTCATTAAGGTTATACACATTTATGTAGAACGGTTGTACTTCGGAGTAATTTTGACCCATCAGCTATAAAACAATTTTCACACCACAAAACCTACTGACACACGAACACTCCCAACACACACAATAAGAGTCTGCAGTAACACTTTATAACTGCACACTATGAACCATTATATGTACTATTTATGCTTTGTAAGTCCCTTATAAACAACAATTAAAAGCTCAGTTATATTCTTAGGAAAAAATAAACTACTTATTCATTTCTATTAATTTGAAGATGCACAAATGAAGCTGTATCAAATGAAATTGCAATCTTAACTAAAATAAAATCATGGTACTGTTGAAACATCGCTAAATAACATTCACATGTTCTATCATAATATATTGTTAAATCATTATATTGTTGTTGTTTTGCCCATTTTTATGTTATATTTGGACACCCCTGATAATTAGTAAAGTTTAAACTTTAGTCATTTTATTTTTTAAATAAAATTGAAATGATTTATTGTTTATTTGATACAATGCCTTTAATTGTTATTTATAAGAGCACACATATAGAGCACACACACACACACATATGTATGTATATATATATATATATATATATATATATATATATATATATATATATATATATATATATATATATATATAT